ATTGTTGTAACAAAAGGGCCTATCCATTTTAAAGTTTAGGTTTTTACACATTGAGCTTTCTTAAATCAGGTACCTAAGGAAGGAATAAAACCAGTTCCATTTTGGTCAGTCTTATGAAAACAATCATTATTTCTCCCTTCTGTGCACTCTTCAACCAACAGATGTCACTAAAGATAGCAGGACCCAGTGGCAAATGAAAGATTAGACAAATGGAAATTGAGCATAAAATATATCCACTTCTTAAAACTGAGAAGTAGGTTTCTAAAGTAATAACATTTATTACACTGCATGCAACGTTTTAACCAAAAATTTAAGAAAGAAATTTCTTTTATTAACTTGCTCAGGCTGAATGGATCATAGCACTAAGTTTTGAAATACACATTCTTGAAGCAATTTAAAACTCATTAGAAATAATAGGCTTGGGCTAGTAGAAAATGTGGTAAAATTTAATCCTCATCCAAGTGTTACCTGGGCTATACAAACAGGAAATTGTTTTGTGCTACTGTGGCTAACCTCAATGCTGACCCTGAGCTGTAACGGCAAGAGCAGCTGAGAGCTGAAGCAAAATTAAAAACTTACATCAAAGTATATCATGACAGAATGTAGATAAATAAAACAGCATATAAAAAGTATTATTTTTCTGCCAGTCTCACAGAGCAGCAAGGTGGATATATTCCACACAATGTATAACAAATCAGGTGCATTTGTAAATGAGTCCTTTGCTGTCTGCACTGCCCTAGTCATTGACTACCCAAAACTGCCATGAGAAGTGAGCAGAGAAAAAAACCCAGTGAGAATGGAAACAGAATCACAGAATGTTCTGGTCTCTTTCCTCCATGGGTCTCCCTTTCCTTCACCTGGGCTTACCAAAGAAATAAACAATGGTGGCTCTTCTGTATCCTCTCGGTCACTCTTTCCCTCATCTTCCAGACTCCTGATGGCAACTATATGATCTCCCTCCAATGATCATATGAGAATTTCCAGAGGTAAGAGCATGTGTAATAAAACATTACAGAAGGTAAAGATACATAAATCAGATTGGCCAATAGGGGGCCAGCATGGAAATCAATGAAGGGTGAGAGACACTTTTCTATTATTCTATGTAAAGTGCATGTGTCAAAGTCACTGGTGACACAGTAGGAGCACATTTTTCCACTGAACCTTTGATTTCCCTTAGGTTTTGGGATATAAATCTCCATACTTTAAAGAACAGTGCTTCATCATAATATCCATGGTACAGTCTTCCTATGGCAACTCCCAAGAGGCAATAAAAAATATATAAAGACTATTATCTGAATTCCCACTGACTTTGAATGAAATTCCAATTCAACTACCTGCTAGCCATGTCATAATCTGGCAAATTTTGTAACTTCTATGAGCTTGAATTTTTTTCACAACAGGAATCATAGTAGCTAACTGGTCAAAGGGCTTTCCACATATTACTTAATTGAATCTTCACAATCATGTTATGAGGTAGGTATTAATATCTTCTCTGTTTAACAAGAAACTGAAGCAAGAGAGGGTAAACAACTTAACCAAGGTCATATAACTACCGTGTTTCCCTGAAAATAAGACCTACCCACAAAATAAGCCCTAGCAGGATTTCTAAGCATTTGCACAATATAATGCCTACCCAGAAAATAAGACCTAGTGATGGGCGTGGCTACACAGCATGTGTGCACTACCCATGCATTTCATCGCTGAGCGGTAAAGAAGACTAGCAGCCATTCTCATCTGCCCCATGAGAGTTCTATTGCTCGACATGAGAGACTGGGGCCAATGGTTCTTAAGGAAATAGAGTAGCAAGAAATTCAGGATGGAATTCGGGGTTTGGAGAGTTATGATGATGTTCCAGAAGAAGACGACTTGACTATATTTGAATAAATGTAGATTGTTGTACCATACTTAAAAAAATAACACATCCCCTGAAAATAAGCCCTAGGGTGTCTTCTTGAGGAAAAATAAATATAAGCCTCTGTCTTATTTTCAGGGAAACATGGTAGTGATTGGCTAGTAGTAATACCTATCTTGAGGATTCAATAGGGTAATATACGATAAACGATCTACTATAGGACCATAAGAGACAATTAAAGAAATGGAAGCTGCCCATACTATTAGTCTAAATTGAAGAACAGAGACTTACTCTAATCTCTTAGTTTTTCTTGAGGGTAAGAAAACTCCTTACTGACTTTTCTTATCAAGAATGTTTTGAAGGTTTTGTCTTTTTTCCCCTTCCACCTCACTTTTTCTCTCCCTTCCTTTCTTTTCTCTCCTTCTGTCTCCCCTTCCTCCTCCTCTAATGTAATCCTCACATAGTTATTTTCCTTAACTTTTGATGCTATCCCTTTGTCTATGTCAGACAACCTGAGAGGGGACTGAAGAAATTTTGAAGCCCATAGCTTTGGCATTTTTCTAAGAGATTCCTTTTAGTGTCACTGCCCAGAAATACATTCCATTCTAGAGAGCCAGTGATACTGGAAGGGGAAGTTCACTTCTCTTATCACTGTAATAATGAGTAAGCCCAAAAAGAAAAAAATATATTTAATGAAAGAAATGGTCCAGAAAAAGGGGCAGGAATGATATAATTGTTACTTTTAACAGCAATCTAATATTTGTATAATTAAAGCTCTATTGATTACTAAGAGATTCTTATATATGCACTGTTATACCGTTTAAAAAAGTGACAAAATAAAAACTCAGCACTGGCTATAGGCAGAAGAAGCAGGTTAGTGTGGTCTAAGCAGAGGGCATTGCTGAACAAAACAAAGATGTGGGTCAGTGAACCCCTGCCCAAGGAAGGCTGGCTTGGTGAGTGCAAGAGAAAGGCTTTAGATCAAGGAGAGGCACATTCAGTGAGTACCTATTCCATGTTACCCCTTGTGTCAGACTCTTTACCCAGAGTAGCTCAATTAACCCCCTTAATCCTAACAAGGCAGGTAGGCCAGTAAGTATTTATTAGTCCTAATTTTGTACATGAGAAAACTAGGCACAAAGAGGTACAGTATTTTAGCTGAAGGTCATGGAATTGATAAATATTGGTAGTAGGATTAGTATTTAGATCTTTTCTTGTCCACACCCCTCCCCCACCGGAATGAGTTGGTTTAATTCCAGGTGACACAGAATTTAGGGTAGAAAAAAGAACAAAGAGCAGACTCTGGCAGGATTCTGGGCTAGTTATACTTTAATTCATAGCTAAGGTAGGAATGGCTCAGTGAAAAGCTCTCTTTAAGATGATGAGCCACTGTATGATTTTTTTTTTATAAAAGTTCACTCTTAAATGTACAATAGGTTCTAAGATAACACTTTATTTTAGCTATAGGTGGTAAAAGATGTTTAATTAGGAGTGGAATCAAGGGTTACCATCCCGTTAGGCACAAGGAAAAGTTTACTTTTTTCCAGAGTTCTTAATTCCACCTGTGGCCAAGGGGCCCTTCCCTGTGGCCTTATATTTTTCACTTGAGTTTCTTCTGTTCCTCTTTTTGTTTCTGCTTGAACACCTTATCATATCCACCTCCTTGGCCTGCTTCTTAGGTTGTTTCAGGGGCTTCTCTTGCTACCTTCGAGCCGCCCCTTCCCCAGACCCTGCCTGGTACTCAGATCTTTTAATCTCCTTAAAGTGTGCTTTTTCTAATATATCATTCTGTATTTAGAAAAGGTCCAGACATATCTTAGTATGATAAGACTTTGATAAGAATTAAATAGCCACTGAACATATGGCAAACTGTATGTAGAGTATTTTAAAAAGGGTCCATTTTTACCTCTAGGAGGCAAAGCATTTTAATATGATTTGATTGTGTCTGTTTTCAAACAGGAGCAAAAGTTGTGGTAATGCAGTTATTGGTAAAGATTAAAATAAGAGAGTACAAATTTACTGTTTTACATAGGTGTTTTCTGTAGTTTCTATATATTAATTAGCTCAAATTCTACAAACCAAATGTGCAATTAAAACTAAGCATTTTTAAGTGGAGGCCTACAATGTATATACATCAGATAGTGTTTTGAACTGAATTAAAAATGATTTAAAACATGAATTTTTGTCCTTTTTTTTAAAAATAGACTTTTACTTTTCAAAAGGTAATATACTTTTAATGGTTGTTCCTACACACACACACACACACAGTTAAAATAAAGAGGTTTTACAAAATTTTGTAAAGTCTATTTCTAGGTACTTAAAAAAAAGGAATATGAGAATCACAGGCAATTTTTGAGACCAAATGTACGTATAGTTTGCTGTTGATTTGGGAAAGAACAGACAGACAAAAAAGAAGACAAAGAAGACACAGGGAAACATCTCTCAGGAGGAAGTACATTGCACAGAGCCTAGCTCAGTTGAGATTCAGTCAATGTGTGCCAAATTCGATTACAGAGGATTCTTACCCATCCTATTCCCATTCTCTGTCTACACAAAGGCCTCAGAGAGTAGAGATTTTCATTGATAAAACTGTCAGAATTGGCAAGTATCAGGGTTTATGATAGTTGGAAGGTACAAACTGCTAACCAAATTATAAAATTCTTGTGCTGTAATTGAATAGGACAATCTTTACTACAGAACTCTGCTTTTAGGGGTACAGTGCCCAAAAGTTCCCTGTAATAAAATATTCACTGCTCTTTTCAAGGGTATTTTCCTCAAATTCTGTGACACACAGGTCTAAGCAATCCTTGACCCAAGACAGCAAACTCCTTGATATAACTTTGAGCAATTTCGAATATGCTATAACTTTTCAATATTCTATCTAGTATATTCCCTTTACCTACCGACACTGCAATTTTATTCAAAAGAAATTCATCAAGTTGGTCAGGCATGATTTGTAGTAAAAGGCATGTTGTTTATACTTCTCCTGATGCCAAGGTGATAGTTACCTGGCTTTCTGCACTTCTATTATCCACTTCACAAATTCACACAGATATGAAAGTTCAAAAGAACAAAATAACTAACATCTTTCTTTCTTCCAAAGGGATAAAACTATATTGCACAGACAAATATGGAAAAGAATACTCACCATAAGTGCAAACCATTTTACTAGCTTCTCTGAAGAGAAGAATTCCATTAGGAGATGATACATCAAAATTCAAACGCTGGGATCTAAGAAATATAGCAAAAAATTAGACTGTATGTGCAGATAAAGAAACAAAATATAGGTTTAAAATATCCAACGTTTTCATTTATTACAAGGTAGCAGCAGTGCAATTATCTCTTAAGGTGTCATTCTATTCAACAACTACTGATAAAATATATATGCTAATTTTCTCATTATAAGATACCAGGATAATTAAGACGACTTATTTTCATTTATTTGCTGATTCAAAGAGTTCATTTTTTATCTGTTAAAACAATATCCTGACATCATATATCACAGATTTCTTGCCCTTTCTCCTTTTATGCAAAGTGGTTCATAGATAATAATAATAATAAACCCCAGGTGTTTATGTGTAAGTTCATATAAATACTTGGACAGAGATATGTATTTACATTTGATATCTCCTACAGTGTCTGATACGCATTTTAAGATAAATTCTAAAGTGACAGATAGGAAATCCAGGTAGCTTTAATACTGCATATATTAATATATGAATCATATAATGAATCACTTGATGTTTCAAGGATATTTCAAACACATTAAATTACATTACATATTACAGTTTCCACTATATACAGCTTAGGTAAAAAGAAACAAATTTTAGAAGTTCTTTGAGAATAATTCTACTTCCCTGGTTCCAGCTGGGAAAACAATATGGATGGGATAAAAGACTGACATGCCATCCTAAATATTATTTGCCTTTTAAACATCAGTCTGACTTTCAAAAAATAATGGTATATTTTTAAAAGGATTAGCAAAAAAAAAAAAAAAAAGCAAAGACATTGCTAAAGCCCTGTTTGCCAAAAGTAGAATGAATTTTTGCTTTTCCATGCTTTTTCAAAATGCTCTAGTATTAAGTATAATTATAACCTATTATTAATAAAAATGTTGTTATGAACATTTGTTGGCATAAAAGTCCTAATTAAAAAAAAGAAATGCATACACATAATTCACATTAGATTCTATAAAAATATAGACAAGATATTTTCTCAGGTAACAGATTTTCACTAGGTAGTTCTTAGGACAATTGTGCTAATAAGAATTATCTGCCTATGGCAGACATAAAATCCTTTACAATGCAATGATTATTTTCCTTTAGCATTAAATGTTATATCAATAATATATGATACCAATTATCTGGTTGAAAAAATTAGCATTTAATTAAAAAGCAAACTAAATTTCTAATATAAAATATAAAGCCATCCTTCTTTAAATATTTAAGGTACCTATGAGAATTATTTTTAAAAAACTAACAGCTCTCAAAATAATACTCACATTTCTTTATTTGCCAGGTCTTTTTCCACCTCTTGTTTTAGAGAAAAAATTCTAAATTATTGCTGTGAAAAACTCAGTACCAGAGATAAAATTAGAGCTCCAACCCATACTCCTTTTCCCTAGCTAGACATCCTCCCTCTAAACACGCAGTTTACAAAGAGGAATTGATGAAACAGGATGGCTAAGTGACAGGTAATTTGGTGCTGAGCCATAGACATGGCATATTTTAAAGAGGTAAACACAATTAGCTTATTGTAGAGTTTTTTTTTTCTTTTAGCTATATCTTTATTAATACTTATATCCAGAGTATTTGAATCTCTGCTGGTCTATGCAAATTATAAGGTTAACTAGGCAATTTCTGAAAAGTGTTGTAGTTGCTATTTCAGTGAAAATTCTCAGTATATAAATCATGCAAATACATGCATCTTGGCATAGAGGAGGAAGCATAACTTGGAAGGGCAAGCAGGGACAATCCTCAGAGCTCCTGAGGCAGACAACTACGTGCCCTTGAATTGCTCTGGGACTGTTTCCTTCTCTATCAAATGAAACATCTCAACTCAGAGACCTCTAAACTTTTTTTCTGCTTTAAAATTTTATAGAATCACAGCTAAGCAGTGAAATAGTTAAAATAGTTGCCCTTCCCCCTTTTGTGCCTTTGAATATTTTAAATAATGGTGGCTGTAGCCTATCAATTTATTTTCAACTTCCCATAGTTCCCATATAAAACTAAGTATATTATACTTCTTTTTCCCAAAAAGTCTGAATCTTAGGTCTCTAATATTAATGTTCTCACTAATCACCTTAAGTTTTGGTTTCTGGGCTCTTGCTAAGCTTTGAAAATACACACACACAGGAAGGAAAGTCTGACTTTTGGAACCTTCTGCCAACAATAGATTGTTTAATCACTCCCTGTCATACTGCTTACCTATTTTGCATCAGTTCTGCCATAAGTTTCAAGATGGGAGTTGTACATGCTGGCTCTCCATACCACCGTTCAATTGCCCTCTGCAGAATGGGAAGGTATGTCGGGTAACTTTTATAAAGTCCGTTAAAGAATTTAAGGGTCAAGAGAAATATTGTTCCTAAAATTAGTGCCACTTAAAAAGAATAAAGGGAATTCAGGTTTGTCCTATGTCTATTCTATACAATAGGAATTTTATAAATTTCTCTCCCTAACCTTCACAGCCATACTTACATTTTTTTGGTCTGCAAGCTATTTGCTCTTATTTGTAACATATCCCGTATATTATACTGCTTTATTCTTGGCATACTGTATAAACAAAAGATAGACTTTTAAAGTATCATATAAATAACGCATTTAAAGAATTATGCTTAATATTGTAGGAGAGAAAAGTAAATTTAGTTAATGAGGATAAAACCATATTTGAGCTATTATTATCAGAGTTTCATGGGTACCATACTACTTAGAAAAAATATTTTTATTATAAAAATTTAAACATACATAAAAAGTAGAAGGAAATACTAATAAACCCCACATATCTATTTCCAGTTTTAACATTTTACATTCTCTCTTTCTAAGTTGTTAACTTGCTCTGCTTGGTCCCACTGTAGTGCCAAGGAACATCTGGGATGTTAGCTTGAAGAAAATCTTTGAGTAACTATTAATTCACTCAAGGTCAGTGTCACTAAAAGACAGTCCAATATACACACAAAGAGAAATTCTCAAAAATCCTTACTAATATTAAGAAGTATATGCTTCTGATAAGTCTATGCCAAAGACTTGGAAAACTCTGACTAAGCTCCACTGGCCTTTTAACTCACAACTGGCTTCCTCCTTGCTAAATAGAAACATAAAATATAGGAATAAGGCCCCCAAATTCTATGTCACCACCTTCATTTTCCTTTCCTTTTCTTTTCCCAATCCTCAAGTGTCTCTCTTGGTATTTTCCAATGGACTTGTGTTTTTGTTTCAGATAGAAATGCTGAACTGAATCACTTAATGGTGTTCCTTTTCTGTAGTATGGGTAGAAACCTCCATAATGAGAAGGAAAGGTCACCATAATTTTCTTCCCTGCTCTGAGAATAAATTTCAAACTCCTTAGCATGCTATATAAGGTCTTTTAAGATCTGGCCCCTGCCTACCTCCAGCTTCATATCTTAGCACTTCTATGCTGTCTATGATTCAGACATTTATAACTCCCTGCAAATTCACAGATGTCAGCTCTCATCTCCATTTCTTTATATACTGCTTTTTCTAACACATTTCTGTCTTTCAATACCTAGCTCAAGTTTCACCTCCCCTGGGATGTTTTCTCTGTTTTGTCAAAAGGCATCAATCTTTTCCTCAACTATGTTCAATAAGCATTCTTGAACATATCTCTTATAACACAGTGTATTAGAGTTGGTTGCTTGTGTTACCTGTCTGCTCCATTAGATAGTGAGTTTCTAAAGGACGGAGACCGTACCAATTTCCTACTAATTTCTGTTTGTCTCTCAGATTTCAATATAGGTGTCAATTATTTCAGGAAGCTTTCTCTGACATCAAATGTACCTGCCCCCATCCATCCCTGTGGGGTTAGGAGTGTTTCCTGTGTATGGCTATGGAATCTTATGTTAGCACTAGTATAGCACTTGTCTATCTCTCCTATTATAAGCTTTTTAAGGGCAGGTACTATGTACTTATTGTATGCACGGGCCTGGCACAAAGTAGATTTCAATAAATATTTGTTGCTATAAATTTGCACCCTAAAAATGAGGTATAGCATATTTGATTAGAACTACTTATTTAATTTTTTAAAGTATACATTTCACTTTGAGGCTTTAGGAAATAGTTCACATAATGTTCAATGAAAATAAGCCCTTGATAGCTTTAAGAGTATGTCCCTAAAAATGCCAAAAGCAACACTTTTTCCCCACTAGAGATGCCATGTTAAGGCTGTATTTGTATATATTGAAACAATTTCCTTAATACGTATTTACTAAAGTCCTACTTTGTAACACGCACTGTTTTAGACTCTCCAGAGACACCAGTGAACAAAACATTAGAAAATTCCTGCCCTCATGGAATTTATATTCTAATAACACAGAAAATAAATATATAATATGTTAGAAAGCACTATAAAGGAAAATGAAGCAGGGATGGGTGATAAGTTAGTATACATGTGGGAATGAGGTTTCAGTTGCATGAAAATAAAAAATAAAAAAACAAAAGCAGTGAACTTGATTATTAACTTTATTTTGGCTATTTTTTCTTCCTATGGAAGAAAAGCCGTTATTTTTGATAGATGGTAGATACTATGTGCTATGTAGTAGGGACTGGAGATCCAGAGTTAAGAAAGATATGGCTTTTATTCTTGGGGAATTAATGTTCAAATCTGGATGGCAGACATGTAATAGGGATGCTTTGAGTACTAAAATTCTGAGGAGTGCCGGAAGAGCGCAGATGAGAAAATTTTCCACCATGTGATCTTCTGAGCACAATCCCAGAGATCACTAGTGGTAAAGTACCTGTAAGGCCCATCAGAAAATGTAAAAGACCCAAATCTCAGAACCTAAGAATAACAGAGGCACACATAGGCCCCTTTGCAAGGCACTTTAAAGGCATTAGGACTGTCATATTTTTCAGACAATGCTGCATTCACTATGGGGTAAGGCCAGCGGATATGAGGAGATGCTCCCTTTTCTTTGTGGAATGAGAGTGGTGCCAATTCTAATATGCTTCTGACAGAGGTGACTGCCACAGAGAAAATGAGTGATTACTGGAAAGCAGAGTAGAGGTCTACTAAGCAGGGAGGTTAAAAGGGCTTCAGAGTGAGAATGCCAAGCTCAAACTACAGGGTGAGAATGAGAACCCAATCTAGGAGTTTAATTTTCCAGTGGCCTTGTGAGGACTACGTATATATGGATAGGAGGAAGAGACTGGGAGGCCTTTGGTAAAAGAGGCACAGATCTAATTGCTTTCACCTGATCTGCTCAATAGGCATTGCTAAAGTCCATATCACATAAATGAAAAATCAAAGGCATTAATGATATGACATTGCCTTATAGGATGGCAAAATGAAGAAGTTACCCTTCTTCATAATACCCATCCATCCATCAATCCAGTAGTTATTAGTGGTTACTATGTGCTGGACCCCAAGAAACCAGAAATGAGTAAAAACTAATTCTTTCCCTCTGGGATTTCACAGTAGAGAAAGCATCATAATCTACCAGAAGGCAACAAAAGAGAGTTTTTGTTAAAAGTGTTAGGAGAGGCCAGGTGCAGTGGCTCATGCCTGTAATCCTAGCACTCTGGGAGGCCGAGGTGGGCAGATTGCTCAAGGTCAGGAGTTCGAAACCAGCCTGAGCAAGAGCGAGACCCCATCTCTACTATAAATAGAAAGAAATTAATTGGCCAACTAATATATATAGAAAAAATTAGCCGGGCATGGTGGCGCATGCCTGTAGTTCCAGCTACTTGGGAGGCTGAGGCAGGAGGATCGCTTGAGCGCAGGAGTTTGAGGTTGCTGTGAGCTAGGCTGACGCCACGGCACTCACTCTAGCCTGGGCAACAAATCGAGACTCTGTCTCACAAAAAAAGAAAATAAAAGTGTTAGGAGATAAGGATTTGTGGATGTGGTTTCAGAACAGACATAGCTTGCCAGTTCAGAGCTTATTTTAAAGATACTCCATGAATATGTAAACACCTGGACCTTTGTTCATGAAGGGACTGCTGCTGGAAGCTTTTCCTCTCTTCTGTCTGGCAAATGCCAATTCATTTTTCAAAGCTTAGCCCAACTTTCACTTCTCCCAGGAAGCATTCCCTATTTTGCCAAAAATACCAATCAATTCCTCATACATGTTCATATGGCCTTTTGCATGCATCTTCATTAAAATACATTGGTATTTAATTATTTATTAGTTATTTGTATATCCACTACATTGTGAGCTTCTAAAGAGTAATCATTTTATTCATTGTTGCATTTCTTGTGCCTGGCACAGAACTGACACTCAGAAAATGCTTGCTGAAAAAACAATGATTTTTCAGGTTTACTTTCTTCCCTATTTCAGCTTATCCAACATGATATTGCTAATCACTTTCTTCTTGAAATTGTTAGTTAATCAAAACTACCAATTGCTTTATAATACCTATGGAAGATTCCTTAGCCTGATTTTCAAGAGTCCCAGACAACCCCCATTTTCAACCATGAAAAAAAATTTATCTATAACAAAACATCTTCTCCACTACTCTCTTTGTAAACCTGATGGTTAGGCCAACTGAAAACCAGTCTTTCTTCCTATTTCTATATGGTGCAATCCTAATTATGTGGGAAGATCTACAGCAATATCTTCACCTTTCCAGAGCCTTTCCTGATTCCCCAGCTAAATGCAATCACTGTCCTATTTGTATCTTTGTTATGGCACACACTGCTGTCTATATTTTATTGTAGTCACTTATATAGATATCTAGCTGACTCTCTTTGGGTTATGATTTGTGTCTAAGTAATCTACTAGGTCATTAAATATGAAATATCCAATTTTGAATCAAAAGTTTAGTTTATTGGGATGTGATGGGTATATACATACATAATGAGTGTGATGTGTGCCATCTGGGGGATGGTCACGCTTGAAGCTCTGACGGTGGGGAGGGAAAGGCAACACACATAACCTAAACATTTGTACTCCCATAATATGCTGAAAAAAAAAGTTTAGTTTATTATATCTCAAACAAGAGGCAGTACAATTAATCAAAGTATGGGCCTAATCTATCAACACAGTTTTGCCATCTTAACAGTAGCTTGTTTATGCCAGCAGTGAAGCCTGGAAAGCCAGTGGAGATGAAATTGTGAAAGGCATTTTCCACAGCTTGTTGAGAATTGAATGTTTTTCTTGCAAGAAGTGGTCCAAAGCCTGGAAGGAGTGGTAGTCAGTTGGTGCAAGATGTGGTGTATATGGTGGATGACAGAGAGTTTCCAAGTCCAGTTTTTACAGTTTGAGCAGTATTGTTTATGCCACATAGGGTTGAGCAGTTGTCTTGCAAGAGGATTGGCCTTTCTCTATTGACCAATCTCTGCTGCTTAAGAGCTAGCATACTCATCTAGCTAGCATTTCCTCCAACTGGTTGCAGTAGGCATCTGCTATAATGGACTGACAGTTTCATGAACCTGTAGTGGAAAATACCAGTGCTGGACCACCAGACAGACACCGTTCTTTTTTTTTGTGATTAATATTCTATTTTGGACTGTGTTTTGGCTCTTAATCTTTATCCAACCATTATGCCGAACACTTGCAATTGTGGAAAATAATCCATTTTTCATCACACATAACAATGCAGTGTAGAAATGGTTTGCCTTTATATTGTGACAACAAAGAAAGGCAAGCTTTAAGATGATTTCTCTTCTGAATCTCATTTAATTCATGCAGTACCCATCTATCCAGCTTCTTTATCTTGCCCTTTTGCTTCAAATGGTCCAATATTGTTGAAATAGTAATGTCAAACCTTGCTGCTAATTCACGTGTAGGTTGAGATGGATTCCCTTCTACTACGGCTTTCATTCAGATCATCACTATCCACCTTGGTCTTAGGTGGTCCACATGGCTCATTTTCAAGATTAACATCACCAGAATGGAACTTCTCGAACTGTCAACGTACTGTGCATTCATTAACCACATCCTTCCCAAACACTTCATTGATATTTCAAGCTGTCTGTGCTGCATTGCTTCTACGACAGAACTCATATTCAAAAATAACATGAATTTTTTTGACTTATCCATGGTTTCACAAAAATTGCTCTAAGAAAAAATTTGAGAGAAAATCACAAGCCAAAATGTGTTTGAAAGAATGAGGAAATACCTTCACAATAATAAAAAAGAACTGTCAAAGTGAAATGTCAGAGATATCAACTGTAAAACTTAGTACTTAAAAAAATCAGACATTCCAGACTTAATAACCTAATATATCTCTCATGAACCCAGCATAGTTTTTAGCCCAATTTGTTGAATAAGTGAGCAAATGGGATTCCTTTGTCTCATTCCATATTACGGAAAGAAATTAACAATAGTGGTGAAGCATGCTAGACACTGTACTAGACGCTTTACATAATCACAATATTTCTCATAACACCTGTAAGAAAGGTATTATTAGTCTTGTTTTATGGAAGAAAAATCTATGATGCTGAGACATTAAGTAACTTACCCAAGATCCACAGGTTGTTAAGTGGTGAAACTATGACTGGAATCTAAGATTGCCTTATTCCAGAGTTTGTGCTCTTCTATGTATCTCATTGTCTTGCCTTGTCCTTATATAACAAGTTTATGCACATTAATAAACAGCATTGATTTCCTGATCCAAAACAGTAAGCCCAAATATCAGATTATGACAATTCAAAGACTGAGTATGAGGAAATAATGGTGCACAAATTCCTTTATTTTTTTTTTTTTCAACTTCCCTCTGGATTTTTCATACTTCAGTTTAAATATGGTCTGGGAAAATTTAGACAAGGTGATTAAATGCACTAAAAGATAAGGTGCTTTCTTAATGTTGCATTCTCACCATAGGGGCAAAGAAGTATATCAATGATCCTCCTTTAAATCTTCAGTTGTAAAAACAATTTATCAAGATGGTTGCTGTGTAGTTTCAGGCAATTTAGTTTTGGAAGGACAGTGATAAGAAATGCAGTTTGTGTGGCAGTTAATGCAGTCAGTGTTTATAGAAATGTTTTTGAATTAAATAGCTAACCACTAAAATAGCATTTTATCAAATAATAGCCATAAATAAAATGCATTTTGACTTTCAGATGACATGTGCACTTACAGGATGTTTCTTCTGCATGCTAAAGATTGTATAACATATTAAAGAACACACATTTATGTGGATAAAAGGCAAATAAACTTTCCCCAGCAGTCATGTGGGAATCATCCCTGACGGTTTGACATATCAATATTTCAAGAAGAATAAATGACTTTCATATCCATATGTTTTTTTCATCATATACTTATTCATTTTTGCATTACTTGCATATTTTGGAAACAATCTGTACTTTATCACCTGAAACTGCTTAAAGTATTTCAAAATATTTTAATAAAGCTTTTTGAATTATCAAATAATATAACTTTTAAACAAATTTTACTATTATTGTAAATATTTGCTCTTCATCCCTTGCCCAAAGGAAAACTATAAATCTTGTCTCAACTGAATGAACACCATTTATCATATTCATTTTGTTGTCAATACAATTATGAAAAGCCTTTGGCCTTTTCCCAAGGAAGCTGATTTGCTACTGAAACTCAATTATTATAAGCAAGGCCAGTACCAAACCACCCCATTTGGCAATCTAACACAGCTTCCTGCATAAATGACACTTTGTCCTTTGCCCCTGACCCTAATAACTTCAACATCTATGGTCAAATGGAGGAGACAATGGTTTCTAGTTCAAAATAAAACATGAAGTCCTAAGATTTTCCATTTGCTATTTTCTGCCATCTGCTGGACAAAAGTTTCATTTCAGATAGGTGCCCCCAAAAAAGAAGAAAATGGAAAATAGACAATTAAAAACTTAAATTAATAATATCTTTTCTAAATTTTGAACAGTATCAATTATGGAAGATATTTCATCTTTGACACTGAGGAGAAGGTTTCTGATCTCGACTCTTGGTTAAAATTGTTGAAGAGGAAAACATGAAGTGTTAATGGCTGGACAGCATAGAGTTGTAGCTTGGTTTCAAGATCCCCATCAATATTTAAGTGCCAAAAGTAGATTTTTCTGATTTTTCAAAGAAATAAAAATTTTAAGTCTTGGAGCTGCTATTTGTGTTGAAAGAAATAAAAGCGTCATATATAATTCCCATTTAACTTTCATAGGAGAATTATAAGACTTCCCATGTTAAAATTTATAATTTCGGTATATGTACGTTATATGCTGATATAAAGCATGAATCTGATTCTTAAATGACATGGAAAAATCTTATCTCTAACCTTTCTTTGGGCACATAAATCTGATGAAGTAGATTTTAATAGGAACTAAAAATATAAGTCAGTACTCAAATTAATGCTTAAAAATTTTTATAACGCGTAGAATTCTCCCCGAAACATGCCTAGAACCCGTTTATTATGTTTTTTGGCCACAACTATGGCACAGTAGTCGAAGATTGAATTTAAGAAGTTTCTTTTGCAATTTAATTTAGAGGAAGTTTGTATAAGAAGGGTTGGAACAAAGCAACTGAGAAATAATGTAACGTAAAAAGTAAATTAGCTTTAAGACCATAGAGTTTTCTTTTGTGCTCCGATGGTTTCATGTACAAAAGGCACAAAACCATTATATAATATTTACATGACTTGCATAGATTATTACTTCCTATTGCGATCAAAGAATGATTTCATGCAATACTTTTAAAATAATATTAATAACCATTTACCACTACCGAATATATGTCAGACATTACACAAAGTGTATTACCCATTTTAATGGTCACAATAAGCCATGATACCCAATTATCTCTGTTTTCTGATGAGAAAACCAAGACTTAGAGAGGTGAAATGACTTGCCAAGGTATACAACACAGTAAATGAAGAGCTGGGAGTTTAAGCCTGGTCTGACACCAAAGTCCATGTTCTTTTTACTTTTATATCATGAGGCATTTCTGTGGGTTTTTTGTTTTTTCCCCCCTGCTTGTATGAACCCTTGGTAAAGGTAAATTCAAATCTTATATCAAATAACAAATCATGGCTGGACACAGTGGCTCATGCCTGAAATACTAACACTTTGGGAAGCTGAGGCAGGAGGACTGCTTGAAATCATGAGTTCAAGACCAGCCTGAGCAAGAGCAAGACCCTCTCTCTACAAAAGACAGAAAATATAGCTGGTTGTGGTGGCATGCACTTGTAGTCCCAGCTACTGGGAGGCTGAGGCAGGAGGATTGCTTGAGCTCAGGAGTTTGAGGTTGCAGTGAGTCATGATGACTCCACAGCACACCAGCTAGGGCAATAGAGTAAGACTCTGTCTCAAAAAAACAAAAACAAACAAAAAAACCCCAAAAACACACACAAAAAAATCATGACTATTTCCTTTTTTTCATGTCCATTAATATTTTCATGATGATGAAAAACTGTGGCATGATGAGTTGGGCCTCAAAGAGATAAAATGACCTTCTCAGCCCTACTAAGTGACATGAAGTAGAGATTCAAATCTCCTCAAAAATGCCAAATGGTAGGATTCATTGATCCTGAGTAAAGATGTTAGCTAGATTACCTCTGCAACCCTAATATAAACAATCATTTGGGGGAAGTGATTTTTAAGTTGTCAATATTTAATGGCACCAAAAAAGAAGCCTCTCTGAGCTGGGTCTCCAAATGCTATGCTCAGTTATCTGCACTGCTGCCACTGTGCTGTAATTTTTAGCTGATTACACATTAGTTCATTTAGCTTTGTTTCCTCTTCCCTACTGTGCCATACTATTAAACGAAAGCGAGGGGCCTGGCATCCCTCTGTGCACAGAGCTGGTATTGTCACAGTGTAATAAGGATACATCCAGTCAAACAGCATGGTGTAGCTGGTCTTTGTGTTCAGTGCAAAGGCAATCCCTCGAAGATCTCTTGCCAGCCCGATCAACATACGCTGTCAGTGGGAAAGAGACACAGTAATTGATTTTCACGTTAGCACAGAGCAGATGGAGTAATAATCAGGCAATAATGACCACATATCTGATTTTGATTCATTAGCTAAAATGTCTCCTCCAGATCTCTTTCTATAGAATACCATAGACTCTTTAAACAAATAGACTATCAAATCTGCTGACCAGCTCTACTTGCCTTCTTATAAATTGAGCTTAGTTATAATGTCAGTAGCTTAGCTAAACATTTAGATTCTTAACATACCTTGTTTCTGAATAGTGTCAAATTAAAATAAAGAGACCAGGACTGGTAATTTCACAAAACAGATATGTACATGGTCTAGACATTATTTAATAACATCATTAAACATTACTTAATAACATCAGCTTGCATGAAATCAGTTCCACTACACAATTTAGAGTCTATCTTAGAAAGGTACTGGCATTTGAAGATTCCTAATTAATATCCTTAATAAATTTAGGACAAAATAATACTGGCCTAGTGACCTACTGGTACTGTGATACACCCAGAATGACAGTTGCATTCCCCTAGCAAGGAAAAGATGTAAGGAAAAAAGTTCTATATTTGATGTAATAAGACTTGAATTTGAATCCCAGCTTTATTTACCGTTAAGACTAGAAGGCAAGACAATTTATCAGTCTTGGTTTTCTCATCTATAAAAAGGACTAATAAAGCCTCTTTCACAGAGACATTGTAAGAAATAAGTCTAATAAATTTATGTGAAAATGCCTAGCAAAAGCCTGATACATAGCAAGTGTTCCATAAGTTTTAGAGGAAAAAACCACTTGATTCTTGAATAAAAGGGATCTGACTTGTACTCCAGACTCTTAATTAAGCTGTCCTTAGAATGGTGCTTAGGAAGAGCACAGAAAACCCATGAACAGATGCTAGAATGTCAGAACAAAGAGCACAAATAAACATAACTGCAAAACAAAAGGGTGAGATAATTGAGATATATTATACAACTGTAATTTCTGAAGATACTGTTTCAGTGGAAATATCTGGCCAGAAAATGGCCTCTGAACTTTTCTTTTTACCAGATTTTCTCTTTTCTCACACTTTGGTAATAAATGAAAATCTCTTTAGGAAGGCGTTTAAATTATCATTAAACAGGCAGTGAATTCTGACCCTCATCTTAATGGCTGAATAATATTTCAAAGTAGCAAATAATACTTTTAACTCTCAGAAGTATATGGAATTTCTCATCCTCCATACTCTTTCTACCTAAAAGGTGACTCAATATATCTCAATAAAATTATTATAAGATGCTGCTTATAAGAATATTCAGTTTCTATGCTAACAGTTTATAGAATGATGGTTATCTGAATTTCTGAATCTGAAAACTCTGAATTTCTATTTCTGCTTCTTTAAATGACTTACTCCTTTTTCTCTCATAATCTCACCAGTCCTTGTTTTTCTATAATTGGCTATCCTCCTTGTAGTTCCCTCATATGATCTGCTGTTTTTTTTTAAAACAACATTTTGCCTTTTATATAGCCTTTTTCACCACCTGGAACCTGCTCCTCTCTTTCTCAGCCTGCCACATTCCTCACAGCCTCCAGGACAAAATACATCTTCCGAGAAGCCTTTTCCGAACAATTTTTCTGATTACCTGGCTTTGCAGTCTTTCTATTAAAATGGTCTTTTTATTCTATTTTTATTACATATACTTACAAGTTTCAGGCTACTCTTCAAATAATCTTAAGCTTCCACATATACATGAGATACCCACCACTCAATTCTAAATTAGCCAACAGGAGCCATCAGTTTTACTTTTTTGTGCCCAGTACAAAGGGCTTTTAATAAAATATTTTAGATTATTCTCATTATACAAAAAGGTTAATTTTTAATTTATCACAATTTTTTCCTTCCTTAAAAGATACCAAGTTAATAGAAGTGCTCTAATTGACTCAAATCTATGGTTTTTAATGCAGTAAAATGTGGGTATGAAATTATATCAATGTATTATTTTATAAAATATTACTATAGAGCAGAGGAAGCATATAATAACTGTGTATTTTAAATAAATTAAACTGAATAGAAAAATACAGTGTTAATGTGAATAAGAAACAGATTTCTTATGCTCAAAAATACCTTTTATCTCAAAGCAGCAGCGAGTACTGTAATGATCTACACAGATACTCAAACAACACTAAGAAAGTATTCTCTCATTAGCCAAAACATACTCAGCTCTGTTAACCAAACCAGGCTACTAAACAATTTGAGAGAGGTGATCTTACTGAAATTTGGGGGAGGAGGAGTCACAGTTTACTATCTCATTTAAAATAGTACAAAGAGGTTTATTTTAAAAGTTGCCTTTCTTCTATGGTTGGTCAACACTAGGCTCTAGATTGACGGGAAGAGTAAGAGGCTCCTATATTTTTAGTGAGGCTGTTTTGGGGAGTGGCATAGATCTAGGGATCTAATCCTATGGATTCCTTTTAGGATAGTTTAAGGAGAAACTGCTGAATGCTTCAGTCTGCTGCATGGTGAACAGTTGTCTGTGTGCCAAGTGTGAGATGAATGGGCTAGGAAACAGCTGAAACGAGGCTCCTTCCACCCTGACCCCCAAAACAGGGTTTCTAATGGAAAGTCTGACAGACCCTTTACAGTAGTGGCACTACTGGGGGCAGCTATAATATTATCCTCATAATTCTACTATATAATAACAACAAAGAAAAAGAAGGTGAAGGGTCATTGTGCTTTGTCTTTAGAATTAAGATGGCTGTCTTCATCCTTACAGCATACTCTTAATTCTGAAGACACATCTTAATAACCTCTAAATAGTTCCAACAAAAGAGCCGTGTCAGAGGAATGAGCAGGCCCCAAGGTGTTTCAACTGGAGTGTTTTCATCTGCCTTTATTGCTCTATCCCTCTCCAGAATTAAGGCAATAACCTGTGATAAATTATTCAGGAACTGCTACAGGGATCAAAGCAAAATCATTCTGTTAAAGTGCTGTTTGCAACATTTGGCACTTAGTGCGAAAACTTTTAATGTGCGCATGCTGAAAATCAAGGATTTTAAATAATTTAACATTGTGGAGTTTTTATGAAGGGACTAAAGATAGCAGGTTCCTATTTAACTACTCCTCTTCCTCTGAGAAGTTTTCATTCATTTTCCTTAAAACCGATGATGTCATGGCCAAATCAAAAATGATGCATGAGTCAGGGGTATATTGGACTATATTTTACCATGGATACAATTATAGGGGGAACACATATTTTCAAATAAAAATGTAAAGCCAGGATTTGTCACAGTATTTTCTTTCTTTTTCCCCTTTATGTTGAAGAGAAAAACCCAAGACAAAAATTCAATGTTCTCTTCAGTTTTAGTAGGACTAAGTAAGAAAACAAAGCTATAAATTTAAGAGTTTTGCAGGATTTTTTCCCTTACAACTATATTTCAATTTCGCAACATAGGTCCTTAATATTTAAGTTTATCTTGAAATCTGCATTTGAAAAATATCTATAAATAGCGAGTTAGAAAATCCTGGTAAAGGTTGCAAATTAAATGAATTTGGCAGTCCTGCGGCATTTTCATAGAGATATTTTAACAGCATCACCTCCTGTGGATTGGAATACTAAATACTTTACTGAAGAACAAAACAGAAATGTTTTTATCTCTAGTACTTGCAAAATGAAGTACCTGAAAGCACTTTTGCATGTATTATTTATTCATCATGATAGAAAAATAGCCTTAACCTAATAAATTACATTTAAAAGCATTTAGTGCAAAAGTTTTGTTTATGATAAAGCAACAGATTTAGTTCTTTATCGGTAGCTTAAAGCACCAAGTTTTCTTTATACAAATTAGACAGATGGTGCTTACAGTAGAATTTACTAAAGGTCTGTCACAACAAATGCAGCCAAGCTGCATATTTAATCACTGCAGAATCTTGTCTACCTGCAGCTGCCAACTGCTAATCCAATTTCCCTGATAAATGTGGCAAGAGACACGATCAGCAATAAAGAGCATCTAACTCCATTTTCCTGCAGGGCGTCTTTTGATGAACATTTAGGACGGAAGCACCGAGTGCACTGTGTGGCCTTGGTTCGTGGCAGCTGCATGCATTCTGAGGCACAGTTCTCAGGTTACTCACTTAATTCTGCCACTATCATTACGTTGCTATTGATCTCAGTAGCTGTTGCCTACACAGCATTACTCTAGATGAAGCTGAATCAGGCAGTTATCATGCATCAAACTTGCTCAAAAGCCTGGAGATTTCCCCTTAATTACTTGTGATTTTATTTGCAAATACCGTTAAAGTGTAATCAAGCAGTCACTTTCCAGGGTCGTTAAGAACTTGCTGGTTTAGGGATACATCACTGGAACTCCATTAAAAATGACTCTAAGAAGATGGTTTCTATCAAACTAGATGGGATTACATCAAAACGGGCTTGGAATATAATGAAATCTTCAAATGAAACAGATGTAATTTTATAAAGATGATGTTTTTCAACTTCACTGCTTCTTTTTGATAAAGGGCACCAATAGTCACCTTAAAGTTACAAAGATTTTCTTGGTCATTAAAAGTATTTGGAAGACATCCAAAGATATAGCTAACCTGAGTGGAAACTCTAGTGAAGAATTTCAGGAAGACTATAAACACAAAGAAAATCTGTAAGATCCTTTTTAGTTTTAAAATTCTATGACTATGACATGCTGATAAATATTCATTTTTTAAAAATCTACTTTAAATGAAAAGGTATAGTATTTGGCAAATTAGTTTTCAGTAGAACAATTATGTAAAAATAATCATCAGAGGCCACCATTTTTCTATTTGTCTTCTTACTGCTTATTTATTTATTTATTTATTTATTGGGGTAAAAAGAAGGCTTGCAAAAGATGGTTAATATTTCCAACATATTTCAAATAAGAATAAAATGTATGACTCAAGCATCACTAACAAAGGTGCCTACATTCTCTGGAGTATATTTACTAGTCTGTTAAAAATAATAATCCATGTCAATCTATTTAATATAGCCTTGATACATTATAATTTTAGGAGATACTATTTCTATTTAGCAGAGCTTGTGGTCCCCATCCCCCATCTTAAAATATGGGGCTGTTTTGTCACAGACAGCTTGCTACACTTAAGGATTTTACTAATAAAATATAATGTTGTCTTAGATATTATGACTGTTGCCACAGCTGAACTGACTTGTCAAATCAATCCTAATATGGCTCCCACAGGCACATAAAAACCTTATTTAGCTATCAGTTATCCTAATCACTTTGTTCAGTTTAAGAATGCAATACTTCAAAGACCAGTTCCTATTTATACATATATGCCTAGCCATTTAATAAAGTCTTGATTTATATAAATTCTTGTTTAAAAATATATTTAGAGATGTAGTGTTTTAGCATGTGTATGTTTGTGTATTCCTCCATATGGATATGTTGAAACAGAGTGCAGGGTAGATGAGGGAATAGGGATGTTTAAAGTGGTGTACCCACGAGAAATGTTCAATTAAAGATAGTAACTGCCACAAGAGACAAATCTGTGCCATCTAATCATGAACTGACTGTCCTAAACCATTCGCTAACCTCAAAGTCCATTTGTATAAGAAACTAGAGAAGTGCTTAAGTGAAAAGTATAACTCAAAGACACATGTAATTGGGAAAGCAGGTCTGAGGAGGCATAGAACACACACAGATATCCAAAACCCTTTTCCAGATCTAGATACTTTAGAAAGAACAAAATTGTCTTTTTTCATGTTTGGAAAAAAAACTCTACCTTTACATCTTCTTGTTTAAAGTTGTTGTTGAATATTTGTAATACTGTTTCAAAAGCAACTGTAAGAGGCAGCATGAAATTCTCAAATTCATCCTCATCTTCGCCTATCAGAGAAACAAAAAGGTCACCACAGTTTAAAATGCATATTATTGTACATCAGCCTCAGCACTGAGTGCTTCATTCAGACTTAGAAATGTTCCCGAGAAGGGATCAACCTGCATTTACATCCGTGTCACATTTTGTGCTTTGGCTCATTGAATATTCTGGTGTTTTGCCTTCTCTTTTGCACCAAATGAAATAGCAAAATTACTTACCAGCCATTTTTTTTCTGGCTCTTTATTGGATCTAATAGACTCATGCCCCAGGCATCTCAGCTTTTTAGTTCTTAGGGCCCCCAGAGCTTCCCTAATGCCTTAAGGAAAGTATTCAAAGCCTCAGAGACAAGGATCTTTTTCCCCTTCTCTTTAGGTGCCAAGGCCCTAAAGGGCTCACAGACTCAGGTGCCCAGATAGCTCTAAGTTATTATTCTCTTTTATTTATGTTCTTTTAAAAACATTAATTTGTTAAATGGGAGAGAAACTTTTATCTGCAAAAAAGGATGGGGTCCTTTATGGGTCATTTGGATTTTAACTACCTTTTCCATGGTATACTTCTTCTTAAACTAAGTGTCTTTTTCTTTATAGAGAAGACGGAAGAGACATTTCCTGTTAATTTTTCACTTTAAAGGTAGACTACAGTTTCCTCAAGGATTCTGTCAAAGCAGAATCCTCACATATGGAGATGTACAATTGATAATTTATATAGCGTTCTTTTAAAAGGGGGGTTCTTTTAATGGGAGATTGAATTCTCTCATTCATCCTATGTCAGAGGGAGCTATGAACCCCACTTTACTGATGAAGAAATAGGCAGAGAAAGGTTAAGTGTGTCGCGTAAGGTGGCATATTTAGTTGAAGGTGGAACTATATGGCTCAGACCTCCTAATTTGTATGCTATTAGTGGAGTTTCTAAATAGAGCATTAGAGAAGAAAGGAACTCTCAGAGAGGAGATCAGTGGTCCTCAAAGTTTAGCAGCATCAATATCACCTTCAAACTTCTTAGATACAAATTCCCAGGTACCATCCCAGATCTACTGAATCAGAAACTATGGGGGTGGGATCCAGCAATTTTGTTTTAGCAAGCCCTCCAGGTGATTCAGATGCCTGCAAATGTTTGAGGAACACTGGACTATACATCACTTTACAGACAAGGAATCTGAGGTCATGGCAAGATCAGGATTCTTTGACTCTTAGGAGTGGCTGATCTGATCTGTGATTTATCTCTTCCCTTCAATCTCACATACTTTGTTTTAAGAGTCCAACAGAATCAGGGACTTAGCTTTGTTCACAAAGAAATGCTAAAAGACCAACTAATGCTAAAAGTCCTTCCTGATGTGCTATTCTAGACAAGGGTCAAGGTCCTGGGTGAACAGTAAGGCAGATCAAATTACAATCCCTGCTTAGTCAACTGGTTATGGGACCAACTTATTCTTCTTAGACAGACCGTCCTCTGTCAACTGGTGATAACATTAGACCTGTATAGATGCTATTCTTATTTTCAAGGCCCAGATCAAATAATATCTTTCCTAATATCTGAGCTAAGCTCTTCTAAGTCCCAATGAAGTATTCTCCCTTCTCCCTTTGGATTCTCATAGCAGTCTGTCTATAGTATCATTCTGCTTTTAATTGCAGATAATCAAGCATATATCTAGTAACACCAATAATACCATCTATATTATACCACCACTAACACCATTTGATCAGGGTTACTGTGGGGATTAAATGAGATAAAAATTTATGATGTTTATATGTATAATGTGTATATTAGCTCTACCAGCCTACACTGACAGTATCTTTAGATTAGGTTCTGGAAGGTTGAGATTATGTATCTTTGTGTTTCTCAGTAAAGGAGAATGATGTTGGGCTCTGCAGTAAACAGGCCCAAGTGTCTGACTCCACTATATACTTTTAACTTTATATATTTTACTTATCACTCTGAGTCTCAATTTCCTCATCTATAAAATAAGAATAAAAATACATATCTTTGAGGGTTATTGTGAAGATTAAGTGTTGTAATACATGAAAAATGGAAGACGTCCAATAATTATTAGTGGTGTACTATCACAGTACTAGTACCCAGAATGAAAAGTTGTTGCTTAATAAAGGTGAATTAAAAAAAATAAGCGAAGAAGCCATGTAGCTTTTTTTTTTTTTTTTTTGAAACAGAGTCTTACTCTGTCACTCTGGATAGAGTACAGTGGCATCACTGTAGCTCACTGCAGCCTCAACTCCTGGGCTCAAGCAACCCTCCTGCCTCAGACTCCTGAGTAGCTGGTACTACAGGTGCATGCCATGATGCCAGGTTAATTTTTCCATTTTTAGTAGAGATGGGGTCTCACTCTTGCTGGCTGGTCTTGAACTCCTGAGTTACAGCAATCCTTCTGCCTCAGTGTCCCAGAGTGTTAGGATTACAGGCGAAGCCATGTAATCTTATTCTTCTAAGATAAAGTATTTTCTAAATGTGTAATAATTAATGAGAACAGTGATAATTATCACTGTAGGCAGACAAGGGTGCTGGAAAGATTGAATGCTTTGAAATAAATAAGTTTATCTAAGCCTGAATCCTGGCTTTGCTATTTGGGTCTGGTTTTGGGTAAAGTCACTTCACTCATCTAAGCCTTAGTGTTCCCGTGTATAATTAAGAGAACATAATATTTACTTCTTAAAGTTAGCTGTGAGGATTAAATAAATGACAAAACATCTGTAACCCCTCTTGCTCAGTGCCTGGCACTTTTAATAAATGACAGCCATTAGTGTTTTTGTTGTCTTGAGTTTAATACGGACTTAGAGAGGTGATTATGGTAATTAAATTAAGTATGACTGCAAGATTGCCAGCCCAGAACCCCTCCTTCGGGAATAAAGCTTTTCCATGGTAAGAATGTTTACTCAGAACAAAGACAAATTCAGAACTTTAAAATTTTGACTTCTCACTTAATATTCTGAGCTACAGACCACAAAAACTTTCTCTTTCCCCAATCAAATTTTGAGGCAAACAAAGAACACAAGAGATAAGCCACCAAAATGTGCAGGGAGAAGGTAAAGGAGCAAATACTAAAGACCATAATGTGAGCAGCAATTCTATTTAAATGTCACTTCCTCAGAAAGACCTTCTCTGATCACTCTATCTAAAATGGTACCCACAGTGCCCCTCCCCCATCATTTTCCAACCCCATAACCAAATTTACTTTTCTTATGGGAGCTGACTATTAATTTATATATTTATTCATTTATTGTTTATCTGCTCTACTATAATGTAAGCTCCTTGGTGAAGGAATTTGGTCTATTTTGATCATGGCTGTATCCCTAGTGCCTTGAATAGGGTCTGGCATTCAAGAAATATTTGTGGAGTGACTGAATAATAGTAGTTATTTCCTGAGTACTTATATGCAGGCAATAAATTTGGTACTTTATTTACTTAAAACCCACTTAGGTGGTTCTTAGTATGTTCAAAGCACTGTTGGAAGTTATTAATGGTCAGAACACTCCCATGAAATTGTATGATTTCCTTCATTTTACAGTGAGCAGAGAGTCTCAAAGGAGTTAAGCAGCTTGCCCAACATCCTCCAGCTGGAAATGTCAGTAAGCTAGGATCCCCAATCAGGTAGGTCTGCTTTACTCCCAAGCTCCTGCTCTTCCTTCTATGTCTCCGATGGGGTGGAAGGCATCAGAGGGGGACTAAAGTTAGTGTCACAGAATGCTGAGTTTGGAGATGCATAAAGTCAGAAGAGGGTGAAGAACAATCAGCTTGGTTCTGGTGAGGAAAATTCCTAGGTAATCATTTGAGCTTAGGTAGGTAAATGTGAGACACTGGTACATTATTACAACAGAAATGTCTATGTTAGCACTGTTCCTCTGTTACTGCAACATGGTATGTTGTATCACCAAAGCTGGAGAACTGGACATTTTTGTTTACAACATGCAAACAACTTTATTCAACATCTGTTAAAGATTTTTTTCCTCATTTGTATTACCCATAGAGGTAATGTTTACTATTTCTGATGTGAAAGGAGAAAGCATGAACTCACTCTCTTAACAACAGCATATCCAAGTATGCAGTCATATATTTAGTATGCTAAATGTATATGTGATCATTTTGTGTATAATAATTGAAGCTGACAATTTTGTTTTCTAACAAGACAAAGATCCAAAAACCAATATGATTTGAAGGTGAAGTGCCAATTTATAGACTAATATTTTCATTGCCATCAGGAAAAGTAAATATAACATGATAAATAATCATGCATAGATAAAAATGATATATTCTTTGCTTTTAGGTAAAACCCAAAACTAATCACCTCTACTGGGTTTCCAGAGATATGATTCAGTAGAAAGTTATTCATTTTGTAAGTTCCAAACATTTTTTATCTTTACAGAAGTCACATTAAAATACAGTAGTAACTCTTCTAGTATTTTCTCTTTTTGTTTGTAGGACATTTCATGTATTTTTTGTTAGTTTAAAACCTCAATTTAAAACCTCAAGCAGTAGTAATATAAAATGGTACAGGCAATGTAATATGGTGATCCACTGTTGAAATCTTCTGGCAGTTACTAAAAAAGTTAGAGTTCCCATTTGACCCAGCAATTTCACTCCTAGGTATTTACTCAAGAGAACTGAAAGCATACGTCCACACAAAAACTTGTGCGCAAATATTCATAGCATTATTTCATAATAGCCAAAAGATAGAAACCAAAATGTTCATGAACTGATGGATAAACAAAATGTGGTACATCCATACAATGGATTATTTAGCCATAGAAAAGAACAAAGTACTGATACATGCTATAATATGGATGAGTCATGGAAGCATTATGCTAAATGAAAGAAGCCAGACACAAAGGCCACATATTATATCTGGGGTCCCCAGACATAGCTGCAGACTGGTACTACTCTGTGTCCTGTTAGGAATTGGGTCGCACAGCAAGAGGTGAGTGGTGAGTGAGTGAAGCTTCATCTGTATTTACAGCCATTCCCCATCACTTGTATCATGGCATAAGCTCTATCTCCAGTCAGATCAGCAGCAGCTCACAGGAGTGTGAACTCTACTGTAAACTGCACATGCAAGGGATCTAGGCTGCATATTCCTTATGAGTCTGTAATGCCTGATGATCTGATATGAAGCTGAGGTGGTGATGCGAGTGCCATGGAGCAGCTGCAAACACAGGTTATCATCAGCAGAGAGGTTTGACTGCACAACAAATGTAATGTGCTTCAATCATCCTGAAACCATCCCTCCCTGGCCGCCATTTGTGGAAAAATTGTCTTCTATGAAGGCTTTCTGTGGACCTTCCATGGAAAGTCCTTCCATGCTGCTGCCATGTACGGAGGATACGTGGGCTATATATGTCAGGCCTTCCCTGCTGCTGCTATTCAGGTCCCCATCCCTGAAGTCTACCAGACATACTGAATGTGGTGATGAGAGCAAAGACAAACTGCAGAAACACCACTGAAGGAACGCTTTACGATTTATGAAGAAAGAACATGTGGAATTAGCACATATATGCAATCTGAAAGTGAAGAATGCTATGAAAGACCTTCTGTGTCTTCTATGTGGTCCCTGATACCAAAAAGGTTGGGGACCATGGAGTTCTACTCAGCCACAAAAAACAATGGTGAACTAACACCTCTTGTATTATCCTGCATGGAGCTGGAGCCCATTCTCCTAAGTGAAGTATCACAAGAATGGATAAACCAGCGCAACATATATTTATCATCAAGTTGGTACTAACTGATCAATACTTAAGAGCACATATGGAGGTAACATTCATTGGGTGTTGGGCAGGTGGAAGAGGGGAGGAGGGGATGGGTATATTCACACTTAATGTGTGCAGTGCTCACTGTCTGGGGGATGGGCATGCTTGTAGCTGACTCTGGTGGTGCAAAGGCAATAAATATATGTAACCTAAGCATTTGTACCCCCATAATATTCTGAAATAAAAAAAATGATATTAGAACAACAAGAAAAGGTTGGGGGCTGCTGTATATGATTCCATTTATATTAAATGTCCAGAATAGGGAAATCCACAGAGACAGAAAACAGATTAGTATTTTACAGGGGGTGGGGGAGAGGGAAAGAGGAGTAACTACTTAAAGGAGTAATTACTAAAAGGGTTTCTTTTTGGGTTGATGAAAATGTTCTGGAATTAGATAATGGTGATGGTTGCACAACCTTGTGAACATTCTAAATATACTAAATACCATTGAATTGTATACTTTAAAAGGGTGAATTTTATAGCATGTGAATATCAAACACACACACACACACACACAACAAAAATCTGGGTATACTTCTCTTCCAAATATATGCAAAACAGTGAAACTTCTCATTTCCCCAAATTTGAATGCAAATAGCAGCTGGATTACTGGGGAGTTGGAGAAGTGGGCAAGGAGAAACAAATGATAGAAATAATTAAGGTAATTACAATGATGGTAGCCAACAGTTACTGAGGATTTATTGTACAAGCATTATGTGAAACACTTTGGCATTAGTGACAGGTCAGTATGGAAGGCAGAATAATGACCAATTCCTTTCTAATCTGTGGAACCTGTGAATATGTTAGGTTATATGATAAAGAGGAATTAAGGTTGCTAATCAACTGACCTTAAAATCAAAAATTATTCTGGGTTGTTCAGGGGAATCCAATATAATTCAAGAGTTCTGAAAGTTGCAGAGAAAAGCAGATGTGGGAGAACCACAAAGATGGCAGCATAAGGACACTGTCAGAGAAAGGGAGCGATGGGTCAAGGAGAGCAGGTAATCTCTAGAAGCTGCACAAGGTAAGGGAACAGATTCTTCCTCAGAGCCTCCAGGAAGGAACACAGCCCTGATGAAACCTTGATTTTAGCTCACTGAGGCCCATTTTAGACATCTGACCTCCAGAATTGTAAAATAATACATTTTCATTGTTTAAGCCACTAAATTGCAGGAATTTTGTTACAGCAGTAATAATAGGAAACTAATATAGTCAGTAAAGGTCAGGTCTCCTGTTATGAAGCTCTGGTCCAAACTAAAGAAAATTAAGAGGAGGGACAAACAAGGAGACACAGAGACACTGGGTGAAGAAAACAATCCATTCCAAACCAAGTAACAGTGGGTGAGCCCAGAAGAGACTTTTGCAGGTCAAGGCCCACATCATCTGCTGTTTCCTAATGCTTCACTATGATAGAACCTCTAAAGTTTTATTAGAATAAGACTTGAGAAATTGGCTTAGCTGATCCCTTGATCTTGGTTCAGAATTTGGTTTTCATTTCAGTTTCCCTCTAAACTGCCTAGGAGTTCTAGCTAGCTTTGAAATGACTTGTGGCTTCAGGCAGGGCAGCATATTTTAGAATCAATCAGGAAGTGCCATCAACTCTTGCTTCTATAGGGAAATAATAGCTGCAAGTACTGAGGGGAGAGCAGATGCATTAAGAGCATTAAACTTGCCTCATTTTGTGGTCCCAGGGGCAGTCAGTGCTTCAAATAGTGCACTCAATAAACGTGTTTTTTAATTAATATTTTCTAAGAACTTGCTTTGTAATAGAAATTGCTCTAGACCTTTTCATATATCTTTATCTTATTTAAACCACATGATAACTTTTCAAAGAAGGTATCTCCATTTAATAGATGAGAAAACTGAGGCTCTATAATTCCTCTCCCTGGGGAACCAGAATATTTATTTTAGTTGCCAAAAGAAAAATACACTGTCCATTGCAGATTATTGCTACTCTTTTTCTAAGAAAACCCACCCTAAAAGTCTCATCTGTGAGGCAGCTCATTTCCTGGTGTGTTCTGGACTCACTACCCTCAAAACCAGGTAAGTTATTAAAACTGGATCTGGACTTAATAGGCTGCTTTCTGCCTACAGGGCCAGCTAATTAGGCTTAATTATCTCATTATAGATTTTAAGTATTTCCAGCTGCTTCTTTACCCCTTACTGTCCACTTCCCCATCCTACCCCCTCAATGTCTATTTTCCAGATAGTCTCTGCTGAGTCATGGACACAGATGATATAGTGGTATTTCTATCACAACATTAGTTATTTCTGATCAAGTTGTTTACTTGCTAAATCTTGCTGGGATATCTACTTCTGTGTTCCTTTTTCCATAGGAAGAAATATATTTTGTACAATTATTAGACATAAGAACAAATTTTAAAATTACATTTGACTTTCACTGACCATCTAACTATAATATACCTATATATGCAGCAACTAATAAACATTAATTTATGTGTTTATTTCATAGAAGCTTAGGAAGTAATCCTTTCTCCTTTCCTTTCACTGCTCCCAAGTCCCAAATCAATCATTTGGTCCAAATAGATCAAATAAAAGTTAAGAAGAAAAAGTTATATTTCTTAATTGATTGAGAAGGTGAAGAGTGAAGTAACAGTTTAATAAAAGTGGATGAAAATATGTGGTCAGACACCTGCACCCGAATGTTTATGGCAGCACAATTCACTATTGCACGGTCATGGAAACTACCCAAGTGCCTGTCAATTCACGAGTAGATAACTAAAATGTGGTATATGCTCACAATGGGATATTACTCAATCCTAAGAAACGACAGTGAGCTAGCACCGTTTATGCTATCCCGGATTAAGCTTAAGCCTGTAATACAAAATGAGACGACACAAGATCTGGAAAAGGGGCTACATACACATCTACTCGCCATCAAATTGGTACTGATTGACTAAAACTATGGTGCTCAAAAAATGGTAGTGTTCAACAGAGATCTGGGGGGGAAGACCCACATCGTAAGGAAGTGGCGAGCATTGTGTGTGGGGGAAGGGATTACCTCTATTACTTTTTAGGGAGAGATAAAGATATACATTGTAACCAAAATGTCTGAAAAAAAATCTGTAATTGGGAAGTGGGCAGGTGGAAGGGGGGAGGAGGGGAAGGGTATGTACTTACACAGTGGGTGCGGTGCGCACCACCAGGAGGCTGGACACGCTAGAAGCTCTGGCATATAGCGGGTGGGGTTGGGGGGGCAGGGGCAAGATATGTAACCCTAACAATATTTGTACTCCCATGATATGAAGTAATAAAAAAATAAATAAAAAAAGAAAATATGTGGTCAGAGGGCTATCATTTATATGACTGAATCTCTCTGAACCTTAGTTTTCTATATTAGCCCCTTAAATATGAAATGTCCGATTTCAAATCAAAAGTTTGCTTTATTATATCTCAAATAAGAAGCAGTACAATTAATCAAAGTATTCACCTAAACTATCAACACAGTTTTGCCATCTTAATGGTAGCTTGTTTAGGCCAGTAGCAAAGAAGCCTGGAGAGCAAGTGACAATGAAATTGTGAAAGGTATTTTCCACAGCTTGTTGAGAACTGAATATTTTTCTTTGCAAGAAGTGGTCCAAAGCCTGGAAGAAGTAGTAGTCACTTGGTGAAAAGTCTGGTGAATATGGTGGATGACAGAGAGTTTCCAAGTCCAGCTTCTGCAGTTTGAACAGTAATGTCTGTGCCACATGTGGCTGAGCAGTTGTCTTGCAAGAGGATTGGCCTTTCTCTATTGACCAATCTCTGCTACTTAATAGCTAGCATCCTCATCATTTCATCCATTTGATTACAGCAGACATCTGCTGTAATCAACTGACCAGGTTTCATGAAGCTGTAGTAGATAATACTA